CGCACCCTGCCAACTGGGCCTCGACCTCGGAAGGCGCGCGCGTGGTCGCGCAGCACTTTGGCGTTGGCGTCGAGACCGGCGGCTCTCCACGCTCACCTTCTAAGACCGAGCAACGCTTCCCTTGGCGCGATAGCACCCAGTTCGACGGCGCGCCCTGGGGCAGCGAGGGCGCAGGGGGCCCACTGTGGAACCAGGATATTCGAGCGCGGCGTCGTTGCAAAAGTTTCTGGCCGTCTGGCCGTTCGGCGGCGCGCGTGCTGGCCGCGAGAAACCTGACAGAACCTACTCCCGCTTGAATGTCTTCGGGGAGACGTCCGGCACGTGGCAATCTGCTGACACCCCGTCGAACCCCCAGCGCGGACGCCGCCTGGTGGCGTGCCTGCAGCGGCTGCCCGCAGCCGAGTGGAGGCCACCTGGCGGCAGGGCCCTCCGCCAACGGCCCAAGCGACAATCTTGCCCGGGTGGGTCCTGCGGCAAGACGGCGCGTCGAAGAGGGCGGTCTTGTCGAGCGACGTCTGGAGGCCCCTGGCCGCGGGGCCCGCAGAGTAGGCGTCGTCGACGATCGTTGGCACTCAGCGGGCGGGGCGCGCATGGGCGAGTCGCGCTGCCCGCGCGCGCGAAGAGTTCGACGCCGTCGACGGAAGAAGAGCGGATGTCGCCGCCGGCGCGGGCCAGAAGTCCGGGGCAGGCTCCGACCACGCGGATGCATCTCCAGCGGGCGTCGCAACAATGCCGCCGGACTCGGGCGACGTCGGCTAGGCGCCCCTCGCGCAGCAACGGGCGTCGAGGCAGCTGCAGTCCAACGCTCCAACGCTGCCCCTGCCCGCGGAACTCGGGCGCGGCGCGCGCCCGCCCCGCCCGGGGCGGCAGCATCGCGCGCGCAGCTCCTCTGGCGGCGCGCGGGGCCTCCCCGCGGCTAGCCGGGCGCGCCCAGCGATCTCCCCGGGCAGCCGAGCTGCGGAGGACCGGCGCATTTCAGGCGCATTACTATGAAGGGGCCCTGGGACACACAAATAAATACACACAAATAAAAAGATTCCCAATCTTTTCCTATATTTTCTGGGTTTTTGTCTTCCCCACCACTTCCCATATTTTCCATATTTTCTGGGGGGTCGACGATTAATTGTGTCTGTGTGTTTTTTCTCCTCCTGATGCTAGATGGACGTTTGGGATGGGGGCCGTTGGTCAGGGCGGCACTTTCCGCGACGGCCCTTTTCCCGCAGGCGCGGGTCTGGCGCGCGGAGGAGAGGCTCGGGGATTCGACCCGCGCGCCGCCCGGCCCTCAGCGCTTCGGCGAGAAGGCGGAAAGCTCAACCAAAGAGAGCGCATCGGCATCTTCAGTGGCCCACCCGCCCAGGCCCCCGGTCCTGGCGACGGCGGGCGCGCGCGAAGTGGATGAGAGCCTCGCCAATCAGGACGAGCAGTTTCGCCGGTGCCGGCTGACAGGATTCTTGCGGGAACCCCGATTCGAACTCTTCCCGCGTGGGAGGGGCTCCATCGGGGCGGGGGCCCGGGCTTCGGTGTCTGCCCTGGATGGGCCCCCGCGCGCCCGCCGCGAGTTTGGGCGCGGCTCTTGCGTCTGCCAGGATAGCGCCATGGGGCCATAGGCGCGTTCGTCCGAGTCACTTTCGCTGCCCGATACTGAGTAGCGCGGGGCGGCGATGGACGCGTCGCTGGGGTGCGACTGGCCGTCGGCCGCCCCCGCCATCTGCGGGGCGATTGAATTTCGCGTCTTCGCCCCAGTCGGTGTCGGGCGGCGCGCGCGGGGGGCGGTCGGGGCTGGGTGCGAAGGTAGATGGCGTTGGAGTTGTCAGCCGTTTTGGCCCGCATCCCCATCGCTCAGCTTGTCTTTGGCTCGCGCACGCGCCCCCCAAGGCGCTGGCGCGGCGGGCCGCGTCGGCGCGGCAGGGCCTCCTCAGCTGAGAGCCAGAGGAGGCGATCAAGTCGTCGAATTGATAGACGGCAAGGCGTTCGCCGCTGTCATAGACGCGCGGGAACTGCGGCGGGCCAATGACGCGGCGGCGTTTGGCGAAGCCGCTGGCCTCAGCCCAGGTGCTCCTGATCTGCGCCCAGAGGCCAGGCCGCGAACGTCGGCGTTCCCGGCGGGGCGCCAGGCCCGTCTCGGCGGCGCCAGGTCCTTCTCGATGGCGCGACGGTGACACCGCTGGCCACTCCATGCACGGCATGCACGAGCGGCGCGGCGCAGTCGTTTTGGATGCGCGGCCCTGTGCAGAACCTCGCGGGGTCTCCTGTCCGGCCCAGCGGCGGGCACCTGCCGCGGAGCGTGGTAGGCCAGCTGGCACGGCATAACCGCCTCAGGCCGCTTGCACGACGCCTGGCGGCATCGAGGTCGAGGGGGGGCGCGAGGCCGAGGTGCTGTGCTGTAGGGGGGGCGGGGGGGTGGGGTAAGGGTGGGGGGTGCGCAGGATAACGAAGTTCGTGATATACTGTTTCGTTGTTGAATTGGCGGGGGCGCAGTCGATGCGAGATCTTCCCGTGCCAGCGGCGCGCTGGCCCCAACCGACGTTTTAGTCGCAGGCGCGCGCTCGCTCGTCTGGGCAGCCTGCAGCGGTGCTAGTCCAACCGAAGCTGAGGGCGTTAGTGATGAAAGACGAATCCTTCAAGCCGCATCAGGCGTCCATGTGCATGAAATACGGCGCGTCTCCTACCCGTCGGCAGCGCCCGAGACCCGTGGGAACAGGGCTGCGTTATTGGCCCCCGATTTGGCGTAGACAGACGCTACGAACATGCCTTCGGCGAGGGTTCGGCGGCGGCCCCCCCCTTCTAGTTTTCCGACAGCTGGCGGCGGCGAGGGCAGACGTAGGGCAGTGGGATTGCGTCCATCGCGCGGTCGCGAAATGGTTTGCGATGGACGGGGTCGTCCTAGGACGCGTCAACCAGCGCTCCATGCGCGGCGGTGCACACCACTCCGCGTTTGGCGGCTGTGGAGCGCACCCTGTGGTCAACGCCCCCTCCATGCCCATTTCGCTGGACGCAGTCGTCCGCGGGGCTGCGACCCCATACAGGTCGCCCGGCTCCGTTTGGTGAGAGGATGCTACTGTCGAAGGTATGTGCGCGGTCGGCGGGGTGGAGGGTTTCTTGGAAAGCCAGGATGAAGAGCCAAGCTGGTGGCTCCGCGAGGCTGGCGACGCCGGCGATGACGAGAAGGGCAATTTGCGGGCCGTTTCCGTCGCTGGGAGCGCGGGTCGCACTCGACGCTGCCACAGCGTAGTGTTCTGCAGGGTGTGGCCTCTGGTGAACCGTTCCTCGGGGAGCAGACAACTGGGGTTTCCCGAATATTGCGCCAGGGAGGGAATTTTGAATGATCCCACCCAAAAAACCTTGACGCACCTGGCGGCGGCTGGGGGACGGATCGAGGGAGGGACGACGCGGCGGCGGCGGATGGCGGCACGACGGGGAGGCGGCGCCGTCGGCGCCGCCAGGAGAAAAAAAGAGAGAGAGGCAAAAGAGCAACCGCAGCTGGTCTCGGGCGCGGCCGCTCCCGCGCACGGCGCCGCGCCTGCGCAAGCCTGCTCCGCCGCCCCGAAGTCCTGGCCGATGTCGATGTTTTTGCTGCCGCCCTCGAAGTCCACCTTCGAGTCGTCGAGATTGTCCTCCGGAGGGCCTTGTCTGGTGCCTTGGCTGTCAAATTCCTGTGGTGGCTGGAGTCCTGGTGGACCGCCGAACTGGCTGGGCGGCCTGAGCGGCCCATGCGCCGGCGCCACGGCCTCACTAGTTTCGGGCACCATGTGGGAAAATGGATGGTGCCGCGCCCAGGGCCCGGGGACCCGCCGTGGCAAGCGGTCCTGCTGGCGTGCTAAGTACACTGGTCCCCAAAACATGCGCTCTTGCTGCCGCCACGGGGCTGGCGCTCGGGTTGGCAGCCCCTTGCGTGGCGAAACTGGCGCTGCCAGCGTGCGCAGCGAAGCGCGGAGCCTCGCTGGGCGGGATGATGGGGGCTCACTCGGGCGCTCCCAGAGAGAAAGAGAGACAGAGGGGGAGAAAGAGAGAGAGAGAGAGAGGCGAGCAGGGATAGGGAATGGGAGGCAGGCGCCAGTAGCCGGGAAGGAGAAGCGAGCGAGGGACCAAGGGAGAGGTGGAAGGAGCGAGGTCGAGTGAGAACAGAAGAGCCGGCAACGAGGCGAGGGAGGCGGGGAGGAGCGATGCGTGGAGCGACGAGCAAGAAGCGAGAAAGGAGGCATGATAATAATACCAGCGCGCGCATGTCTCCCTCGCCTCGGCGCGCGTTTGGCCGAACATCTGGTCTCCTTCGCTCATGGGGATCTCTTGGGTGGCTGGCACGGTCACAGAGCTCCCTCGGGATCTTCCCCTGGAAGCCTCCTTGAGGCGGTATTTGGAATGTCTTGGAGCCTTTCGGGGCCCTCTTGGGGCCTGATTTGAGCGTCTTGGGGGCCTCTTGGGGCTTCTGGGGGGCCTCTTGGGGGCCTGCTGGCGGTTTCTGGGATCATCCTGGAGCGGAGGGCGCAGAATGTGACTTTGAGTTCCCCCTCTTGGGGGCCTCTTGGGTCCGTCTTGGGCGCCTGTTGGACCGTCCTGGGGCCATGTTGGGCCGTCTTGGGACTCTCACGGGGCCCTCTGACGCCGTCTTTGGGGAATGCTTGGCAACGCTGCGAAGACAACAAACAGTGTAACGCTGCTGCAGGGCTTGCTGTAACGCTGCGAAGCCAACAAGCACGAAGAAGCCCCCCTCCTCAAAAAGTGTCTCAAAAAAGGAGGGCCTTTCAGGGCTGTCCTGGGGGGCGCTAGTACATCTCTCTTATGGCGTCTTGGGGGTCACTTGGTCCGTAGGGGCGGGATTGGGCGCCTCTTCGGCCTTTTTGGGGCTCTGCCAGTCCGTATAGGGGGCCTGGCCCGAGGCTCGCATGGCTGTCGGAGCTGCCCTGGGAGCGCTGTTCGGCCTCCCGTAGCATCTCGGAGGCAAAGAATGGCACTTGATCCACAAAACCTTCTGGCACGCAGATGTTCCTGCATTGTAGAAGAAATGACGTTGGGCTTCAGCTTCGCCTCGCACATCTCGCTGAGCAGTGCCAAAGCCAGGTGCCACTGCTCGCCCTTCTCGCACGCGCTGATTCCAGCGTTGTAACTGACTGACCCGTGGACTTCTGTCCACGTCTGCTTATGTTGAACACGATCAGGGGCTGCCTGACCTCATACAACCACAAATTCAATCGAAGAGCTCTTCAAAACAATATGCATCAATTGGGCCATGTGAGATCCCAGAGGCACCACAATCGGCCAGGTGATCAGCACGCTCGTTCGAAAACTGTCCAGTATAGCTCTCAGCCTTCCCGAAGACAACACGGCCAGCAACCGCGTGAAAGGGTGCAGATCGCGTGCACGAACAAATGGTCCACGATGCCTCTCTCGCGTGCAAGGGTGAAGATCAACTGCCTGTTTGCCTCCTTCCGTGCTGTCCTGCACGCGTGGGGCATCTCTGGGCCTCCGGGAGCCATCTGGGCCGCTCTTGGGCGCTTGGGGGGAGCCGTGGGAACACCTTAGGACGATCCTGGGCCGCCTTGGGGCCGTCTTGAGGCCATTTGTGTGAGGGCCGTCTTCGAGGCGCGTCGAGCCACCCCGAGGCCGCAAGAAGCACTGCCGGTGCGGATTGCACTGGGGGCCAGGAGACCCGAGGAGCCAGGAGCGAGGACGAGTGATGGGAGACGAGCCAGAGGCCAGGGAGAAACTGGCCATCGCTCGGACGTCCATTCCCTGTGCTTTTTTCGGACTCGTGCGTGGGTTTTTTTCGCAGGATGATCCAGGATGCTCCTCAATCATCCCCGCCGAGAAACGCACACGTCCAAGCGACACCAAGGAGAGGAGCGATTGGCAGTGGGCGAGACGCTCCGAGACTGGAGCTGGCCTCTTGGGCTCGAGGGAGGCCCTCCCCGAGGCCCCTGGAGCCATCCGGGCGGCACGCGCGGCCCCCGGGAAGCTGCCTCGACGGCTCCGAGGGCAGGCGGGGGGTGCCACGGGAGCCACCTCGGGCGCTTCCTGCAGGGGGGGCCACGTGCGCAGCCGCCCCCCGTGCAGTCGGCCTTGCTTGGGAGAGGGCACGCGACAGGACAGAAGACCCACTCCGAGGGGCACGCTGCCATTGGAGTGCAGGAGGCGTGGGTCGCGAGACTCAGGGCACAAGGGTGCCCTTGACTTGGCAGGGTCGACCTACTGATCAGGGCCGACTGTACCCCCCACGATTTCTGGGGGGGAGAGTTTGGTTCCCTTTACCCCGGAGCTCCCGAACGAAGCGAACCCCACCCTCCCCTTCAGGACTCGTGGGGGGTAGGGGGAGGGTTCGCATGTGGCCCCCTATCCTGGGGTTCTTGGGGCCATGTCGGCGGCCTCTGTCGCTTGGGTCGCCTTGGCACCCTGCTAGGCCGTCGTTGAGCTGTCTTGGGGGCCTCTGGGGCCGTCTTGGGGCGGATCTCGAGGGCCGTTGAGGGCGTCCCGAGGCCCGAAAAAGCGAGTACGCGAAACATCCTTCAAACATGTATAGAAATTCAATCGGTTGTGCCTGGCCCCCTCACGCTCGAGACAGTCCGCGTCCTCGCGTCCGACCACGTTTGCCTCCCCACCCCATTGGCCTCAAGTGGAATTCGTGGAGCAGGCGCCCTTAGATCCAGGTCGACTGCGTGGGAGTCGCCGACGTCGTCAACGGGAACTCGGTGGTACGAGCGCCAGTTAGAACCAGTCTTCAGGAGGATCTGCGCCAGGCTGTTTCGTTGGAACACGGCAAATGGAGCCCAAAAGGAGACATCGATCCTTACTTAACTTGAGCTTCCAGTGGCATGAACTCAGTGCCCGATTACCTCGTGAACGCGGAGATCGACGCACGGCAAAATCTCCAGGGCGAGAGCCAAGATGCACTGCGGAAGTACTTCTCCGCTCCGACGGTGCCGTCAAGGGATGGGTGCCTTCGAGGTCTGCCTTCTGTTGAACACTGCCTGGCAATGATCGGCACTGTCACCTGTGGGACTCGGTGCGTCGGCACGAAGCCTACTGCGATGCACTCGCACTACAGTCGACCAGTATAGTAAGGACGAGCGATAAGGATGCAAGGGCCTTGGACGCCCATGTCGAAGCATTTCGAGCGGGGCGCGGCCAGCGAAAGCGGCGAAGGATGGACGGAGGAGGCAAGGATGCAAGGGTACCCTTGGGAATGTTGCCCATCCTTACTATGCGGGTTGACTGTAGCGTTGGGCACAGCCTAAAGCAACTCGGCAAGAACATAGCCCCGAACCTGTGAATAACAGCCGCTCGATGCAGTCTTTTGAACAGCTCGTCAGGCGCAGACTCTTCCCTAGAACCTAGACTCAGGCGATGCCCCCCGGGTCGCTATGAACTTGTCGCACTGTCATGGCAGCAACTGCAGAATACCAGTTGCGCGCGCTCGGTTTGGTCAGCGGCAGTGCGAAGCAACACAAATAGATGTCGCTTCCAGATACACTCTGGGGGGTCCTCTAGCGGCGTTCTTGGAGCGTCTCGGGCTGTCTGGAAGCCATGCTGGGCCGTCTGGTGGCCTTCTTGGGCCGTCTGGAAGCAATCTTGGCGGAACGCGCCAGGGCCTGCCAAGACCGTGTAAGTACGTCTTCTGCCTACCACCCGTCTGACATGCGACTCACCCCCGCACTGTAGCATAGATGACATTGGGCTTAATCAGCGACTCCCACATCTCACTGAGCAGAGACAGTGCCCGTTGCCATTGCCCGCCTTTTCTGCATGCGCTAACGACCGCAATGTAGTTGCCTGGGGCAATCGGCCCCCTCGATCGAAGTCCTTCGCGGAGCAAATGCAGTTCCTCACTCCATTGTTTTGTCCGGCTGTACTTCTTGCTTGTCACCTCGGAGGAAACAGCGCCTTCTCGAGGCCCTCGCCAGACGTCGACCATCCAATAACATGTGGCGTCACGGCGATTTACATCCAATCGGCGGCTTGATTCCAATATAGTTTAATATCAACAAGAGTGGAAGGAAAAGGCTTGAGCTCTGTCATAGCTGCCAACAAGATCTATAGCATGGCCCTTGTCGTTGCCGTTAGCGAGGGGGAGCGAGGAGAAGAGCGGTAAGGACACGGGAACAGGCAATAGAGCCAGTGGTGGTGTGAAGGCCAACGCTGAGAGGAGGGAGAAGAAGGAGGATGCGGGGGAACGGGAATAGGGAGCGAAGGAGGAAAGAAGGGGGAGGAGGAGGAGGAGGAGGAGGAGGAGGCGAAGGAGGAGCAGGAGGAGGAGAGGAGAGGAGAGGGGAGATCCCAGAAGCAGTGAATGGTGCCCGTGCTGGTGTGTGTGGGGGGGGGGGGGGCAGAAGTGACTGCGGGTCTCCACCGTCGAACTGAACTGGCCTGCTGGGGGCTCTCGAGGCGTCAACATGGGCCCATATGGGGTCATCCTGGCGTGCACGGGGGGCTCTTGCGTCCGTTTTGTGAGTCGACGCCAGCTTGAGGTCATGCTTCAATGTTGGGTGTAGCGGCGTCCTTCATGCAAGCGGCGCTTGGCGCATCCGCGGGGCCAAGCGCACAAGCCAGGTCTACGAAGCGAGATGCGGCTGGGCTCAGCAAGCTGGCCTGAGGCCATCCTGGCCCAGGCTCGCGCCCATTTGTCCCGCGCAACTGAGTCCTCAAGCAGCACACTGAGGCCTCCGCCAACGCCTCCAGCCAACCATCGGAGACCTCCGAGATAGTTCCAAGGGGCCCCGGCCGCAGCGGCGGAAGGAATGCCGAAGAAGGAGAAGTTCCTCAGCCTTTTTCAGGGTCCAGCTTGAGTCAGATAGAGGTCGTTGATTTTACCCTTGGCAGCATTGCCCCACCAGGCACTTTGATCAATCTTGGCTGTCGCAGGCAATGCGGGAATTGTATTTGGACACAGCAGTGTTTCCTAAAAGCCTCCAGCAAATCCTTCGGTCTGTCCAATACCTGCCCTGACCTTGGAGTGGTACACCGAAGAGGTACACAGGGTCACTGGTCCCACCAGCGGGTTTCAGGCGCCCACAACCAATATCACTTCAAGCGTAATCATCCATCCTCCATCCTCTTACTCCTCCACCTCGCTCGAACCTCGATCATCACCCGACCCTCGATCGACGACGGTGGCGGCGACGGGAAAAACAACGACGACGACGGTCCACGGTCCCCCCTGGGTCGAGGCGCACACGCCTGCACATCTCCAGCGCAGCGTCCTCGTCCTGGGCGAAGTGGTCGCAGGTTCCCGACTTGGTCGTATGCATCACGGCGCCTTCCAGACGTTGTCGCCGCCGCCGTCGCCGCCAGTGCTGTCATCGTCGTCGCTGCCGCCGCCGCCGCCGCCGCCCGTCGTCGTCGTCGCCGCCGCCGCCGCCGCCCGTCGTCGTCGTCGTCGTCGTCGTCGTCGTCGTCTTGGTCGTCGTCGCCGCCGCAGCCGCCGTCACCGTCGCCGTCGCCGTCGCTGTCACCATAGCCGTCGCCGCCGCCGTCGCCGTCGCCGTAGCCGTCGCCATTCCGCCGTCGTCGTCGTCTTTGCCGCCGCCGTCGTCGCCGTCGCCATCACCGTCGCCGCTCCGTCGTCGCCGACGTCGTCGTCGTTGTCAGCCCGCGTAGAGGGAGCAGGTAGGCAGGACTTGGAGGATGTAGGAAGGAGGAGGGGAAGGAGGAGTAGGAGGAAGAGGAGGAGGAGGGAGAAGACTAGGAGGAGACAGTTTGGATCATTAGGACGACGGGGCGCCTGCCAGACTCCGCTCGTCCTTGTGGCAGCCGACGCTCTCCTCCCCCTTCTCCACCTCCTCCTTCTCCTCCTCTTCTTCCTCCTCCTCGCTTCTCCTCACTCCTCTTCCTCGCTCCTCATCCTACCTCCACGGTTTTCCTTCATTCGCCTCCTTCCTCCTTATCCTTATTCCTTATTAGAATATACTCCTACTCCCCCCTCAGGCCGGCCATTAGGGGCCGCATCCGGGTGGTCCCATCCTAACCTGTAAAAAACAATACAAAATCAACATGTTTCTTATTTTTTCCTCTCGACATGGACGTCCTGTCGTCCACGGCGATAATCCATTGCAAAAAAAATACCACAAAGAGCACACGCGCGCGTTCATGTCAGAATCCTACCGAACACCTGTGTGTTTGCAAGCATTTCAACATAAAAACATCAAAAACCCAATGCTTTTTTCACAAAAATTGTACAATTTTCCCGCCCGGGCTCTCTTGCTGAAATCATAGGAAAACCATAGGAATCTTAAGAATTCTCGGTCGAATCCAGCGATTTCACGTCATCGCGCGGTGCACTCGCGATGCTCTGTCATGCACCCAGGCCGCGAATCCTGTGCAAAAAATACCACAAAGAGCACACTCGCGCGTTCATGTCAGAATCCTACCGAACACCGTGTGTTTGCAAGCATTTCAACATAAAAACATCAAAAACCCAATGCTTTTTCACAAAAATGCTTTGGGGTGTCCTGTCAGACCGTCGGGCTTCCTCCGGCCACCTCTGGCTTCCTGCGGTGTACCGGGCCATTCTCGACTCGTCTGGCAATGCGTGCGCGGCATTCAACATGCGCTCGCCAGTTCCCGTCGGCAACCGCCATCGCGGCCGCATCAGCTGTACCAAACCGGCTGGCCGGTGTGACTTCGGTCCCCAGTTGTGCCAGCTTTGCTTCTTATGTTGTGGGAGGGCGGGTGGGACTGGGCATGCCATGCTTGACTCGCTCGAGCTGGCTAGCTTGACCCTGGTCCTACTCCTGAACCCCTTTTCCTGGTAGATGACTCCTCCCTGTCGCACCCCGAAACGTGTCGGTAGGGCGGGCCGGGCGTTTCGCCTAAGACCTCACCACCGCTTATGACCCTCAAGCGCGGGAGCTTCACGGATGGAGGGCAGGCCTTTGTCAAAGCGTAGTTCCCGCCTAAGCGCCACGCGCATTCGTCTTACACATGTGCAAGAGTTTCACACGTGGAGGGCGGCCCGTTTTCAAAATGTGCCTCTCGCCGCAGCGCCGCGCACATTCGCCTTGACAAAAATTCCAGGGTTTCACTGGCGGAGGGCGGTCCGTGGTCAAAATGTGGCTCTCGGCCGAGCGCCGCGCACTTTCTTTTTAACGCATGCGCGAGGTTCGCGTGTGGAGGGCGGCTCCTTTTCAAACTGTGACTCTCGCCCCAGCGCCGCACTTTTGTTTTAAGAGCCTACAGCAATTTCAAGAATTCTCATGGTTAACGTTCCAGAAAGCATTTATTGCCACGATGTCGGACTGTCAGGGCGCGACAGTTACGTTGATTCGCAACGTTGCAGCCCCAGGAACGATGTTCTGGCACGAATCATAAAGGTCAGGCCACATCAGTAACTGTAATTCGCGGCGGTGAAGTCCCAGGAATGATGCTCTGGCACAGATCAGGGTTTTCAAACGATTGTCTTCCAACGGGGCGCTTCCCCAAGTGAGAATGATTCCCTGCAGGGGCCCATGACGACGGACCTTGGGGAGGGGGTTTATTGCGATCCTGGTCTACACTGGTCCTCATCTTCCACCTCATCCTTCTCCCCGCTCTGTCTGGTATGTTTTTCCCTGCTCTCCCTCATCCTCCCTCCTTGCTCCACTCGCCCACCCCCCATCCTTCCCTCCTCCCTACCCATCCCATCGGCCCTCATTCTTCCCTCCCCCCTACTCCTCCCATCGGTCACATCGGTCCCATCCTTCGCTCATCCCTCATCCCTGCCCCCCTCCTCCCCATTCGGTCCCGTCGGTTCCCTCCTCGGGAGTCGGGACACATCTACGCTCCAAATCGGAATCCAGATAAGATGAAAGCAATATGCTGACACACTTAGATGAGGATGATAAGGGCATATCTGAGAGCTGGCGCGTCCAGAAGATCAATTGAGCGCCACAGCCCAGAATGCTCTGAGAGCGTTCTGGGACGCCTCTGGAACGCTCTGGAGCCATCGATCCCAATCCTAGGCGCGCCTGGCCCCTACCAGGGGTCAAGTCTGGATGGCTTTTCGAGCCCCGCTGTCCGCTGCCGCCTGAAAATCAGACACGCCGAGCATGTAAACTCCTGAGTAATGTTGCCTCCTGCTGCTGCTGCTGCTGCTCATCCTCCTCCTCCTCCTCCTCCTCCAACTCCTCCTTCTTCGCCGACCTACTGCCCTTCCTCCTTCCTCCTTCCTCCTACCTCCTTCTGACTCCCTCCCCCTTCTTCCTTCCTCCTTCCTCCTTCCTCCTCATCCTCCTTCCTCCTCCTCGTCCTTCCTCCTTCCTCATGCCTCCCTCTTCCCCCCTCTTTCCTCCTTCCTCCTTCCTCCTTCCTCCTTCCTCCTCCCTCCTCCCTCCTTCCTCCTTCCTTCCTTCATTCCTTCCCACTTTTCCTTCCTTCCTTCCTTCCCTCCTTCCGTCCTTCCTCCGCCTCCTCCTCCTCATCCTCCTCCTCCTCCTCCTTCTCCTCCTCCTCCTCCTCCACCTCCCCCTCCCCTTCCTGCATTCCTGCCGGTGCCGCGTCCAGTGCTCAATCTCCTGCCTTCCCCGCGAAGTGGCGGCGCGCCCCTCGCAGGCGTCCGACCAGACCTGGCCGTCCTGCCAGGCCCGGGCTCGAAGACGAGAAGCTCCAGAGACGACCGAAAGACTCCGGGGCGAAGACTCCGTCTCCGTCGTCAGGCAAAGGCGGGGCGAGGGAAGGGAGCGAGGAGAGCGGAGAGGTTGGCGCTCCACCTCCACACACGCCCAGCCTCTCCCTCTCCCCCCCCCTGTATCGGGGGAGGCGAAGAAACGGAGTAGGATCGTCAGGGGAATCAGCTCACGTAGCTGGTTTTCCCAGCGGCTCCAGGCGCCGGGAGGCGCACATGTATCGGGGAATGGGCACGGCGGCGGGGCCGAGACCAGCTGCATGCAGCAAATTTCGTATCCCCCCCTTTCCCTAACGCCCCGCCCCCGCTTCGTCCGGCCCGAACATCCAACTCCCCACCCACCAGGCCACGAGGCGGATCGATCCGCGAAGGACCCCGTGCGGGAGAAGGATCCGAGAACGCCAGGTGTGCCAGAGTGCGACGCCCGGGTCCCAAGCTAAGGATGCCATCCCCGTGCATGTTCGGTTTCGTGCGGGCAGTTTTTTCGCGGGATGGCCAAC